TCCTTTTCTTTCTCTTTTTCTGCTTCAACTGGTTTTTCTTTTTTCGGTTTACGCCTCATACGCTTTGGTCTCTCCACATTGGCGAGCAAATTCTCATTGTCAGCGAAATTCACATGGTACTCATAGCCCTTAGTTACAATATGGGGAAATAGCGCATCGCTTTCGCCCAAAATATCTTTGTCAAATTCAAAAGCCACTCCAAGATCCTCACCATTCAACGTGTACTTAATTGTACATGGGGTACTATCCAAATCCAAGTAACAACCAATTACATCATCCAGTTGATATGGTTTGGAAAATTCAGAGAATTCTGAGTTAGTAGCTTTCCGACCAGACTCGCAATAGGCAAATGAATTTTCTGCTTCGCCAAGCAATAAAGTGGTGTTCGGTAAAGAGAATCCGACACGAAAACCACGCACATGTGGTTCATCACGGAACTGATGAGTTCGTCCCAATTGAGTTTCCTCGGCCAAACGTACTTCAAAACACACTTTGCCTTCACGCACGCCATAGTTGGTGCGAGCACCAGACCAAATCAATGAATACACTTCGTGAGACATGGGTTTTGCTGACGTGAATGTGACAGGATCAATACGTAAATGTAAATCGGAATCAACTGTAAATATAAAAACGTGATTAAATAATAAATATACGAAAAAAACCAGATAAATATATTGAAAATGTATATGAACATACACTACTGGCAGAAATAATAGAAAAGCCTGATTTTATTTATATTTATTTTCTTTAATTTTTTATATCCTTTAATTTATTTTATATTTTAATAAAAAATTCAGAATTTTTATTTATTATATTTAATTTTAGCTAAACAATTGTGTAATTTTTAATAATTTTTTTTCCATCGACTTTACTCTTATTACCATGATACAAAGAAGAAAATAGTTCCATTTGATGACATTCGTTAACTGATCCACTAAAAGTATTTTTTTTTTCTTGTAAAAATAAACGAATGTTGCCGAATTTCCACTTGGCATTGAAATGACAAACATTTTATGCCATTTAAAAAAATGCCATGTGGAAATGAACTCAATGATTATTTTTTCACATAATGACACGATAATTTTTTAATGCCCGACTTTGTCATTTGTCATTTTTGCCATTTAATGGGCCGTATGAATAAAAATAAGCAATTGCTTTTTCTTAAAATTTCAGATCTTTTACTCAATTTATTCAAACAAAATTGAAGTAAAAGGTATAAAATGTTAAGAAAAAACAATTGCTTAGGTTTTATTCATACGGCCCAATGCCTAGTGGAAATCCAGCACATGAATGATAACTATTGAAGTTAAAGCAAATTATTGAACATAAATTAAAAACAAAAAAATATTGCACTGTTCAGAAATGCATCAAGCCAAAGCATTACCTAAAACTTTTGTGAAAATTCTGAATCAGTTTGAATTTCGAAAATTTGTTGATTTTTATATATATATTGTACAACGTATATTGCGCATTTATATGCAGGGTATTATATGAGTTTGAGATTTATAGAATGTAGCCTAAGCAGTTCAAAATATGGCGTTTCTATAATTGGTGCCGCCAGTGTAAACACACAAGATACACAACTTACACCAACTTAAACCGAATTGTTTGTCTTCAATTGTTGGTTCATCTTCAGGATTTGTGGCTTCTTCAGCTTTCGATGGTGTACCATGGCTACCGGCGCCACTGCGGCGTTTTGGTGTGCGAGATCGTGATTTTGAACGGGAACGAGAACGGGAGCGTGACCGCGACCGCGACCTTGATCTGGAGCGTGAACGCGATTTTGACCGAGAACGTGAATGAGAGTGAGAACGGCCGTGACGTTCTTTGGAATGTGAACGCGAATGGGAGCGCTTCCTTCTGCTCGCCTCGGCTTTACTGTCGCCTGCTTCTTTTAAATCCTTTGCTGCCGATGCATCCCTTTCAGCTTCTTCGTCTCTATCATCGATATCCATTTTCCTTCCCTCATTTCCTCCTACCTCAGAGTCCTGCTTTTCTACGTGTCCGTCATCATCTTCATGATCTTCTTCTTGTTCATTATCACCATTTTCTTCTATTTTTTTACCAGACTGGGCTTCATTGTGCTCCTTTTCTTCTTCTTTTTCTTCTGTCTCGTGTTCTTCGTTTTCGCTTTCAACTGCTGGCACTTCATCAACACCCCGCTGAACATTTTCTTCATTATGTGCATCCTCTTCTGTGGCTGCGTTTCCATCCTCTTCAGCTAGAGTTTCAAGAGTAGGTTCTGCTGCTGCAGCCTTTACGGGGGAAGGCGATGGTGAACGAGTCATTGAACGGGTTCGTCTACTTCGCCGACCCGGCGTCCCAGGTGTGCCTGGAGCGCCGCCTGAGAAAGTTAAATGAAAATGCATAAAGTGTTGCACCAATTACGTATAATACTTTCTTTGAAAATATAATTACATATACTTAAAATTAGAGAAATGAAATTTTTCAAACCGATATTCGGCTAAAAATTATATAAAATCATGTTGAAATTTTTTTAAACCAAGATTTCTTACACCAACGCTTACCTGAACCATCACTTCCACCTTCTATGAATGCCCGCAAACGTTCGATCAACACAGCTTTAACGCCTTTAGTATCAAGACCACGCGTCTCCAGCTCTTTACGAAGGTCTACCACCTTCATTTTATCCAATTTGGCGGCATCCATGCTGGTAGTTGTACCGAAGACTTGCACACTTTTACAAGTTTACTTTTAAGTTAAACTTAATAAATTTATTTAAACAAAACGTGTTAATTGTTCCAAAGTTAACTCTCCAATGTTCACGAAAGTGTGTTACACGATTAAAATAATGTAAAATGAGTCAAAATTAAAATGGAACATAAATGCGGTCGTACTCGCGCAAAACGAGAAACGGCGCGAATGCCAGCTTCTCCCGCTCCTCTACTGCTGCTGCAACGATTACCTTTCTACTCGTTGATCGCCAATAGCTAGTGGTAGAAAGGGCTTCAGCAGCGAAAAAATCACCACCAGTCACACCGCACAATTTTTCAATGCACACTTCTCGCACTATTCTCAAAATTTTCAATAATGTTTCATTGAAAATAATAAATATAGCAGTTGCACTACGTTTTTTTAATATTTTTAGCCCAATTTGTGTAAGTTTTACCACGACTTTCACGTTTTTCACGCGGACCACTTTTTTCGATGGAATTCAGTACGTTGTCGTTGGGCGAGTGAACGAGTAATTCGGAATAAGGAGCGAGCGGCGCGGTTCCGAAAAAATGGCGGTGAGTTGCAAAAGCAGATGCTACAGGCCTGACAGAGCTGCCGTATTAAAAATGGCCGCCTAGTGTATTTGTTGCTTTAATTTCACTGGCCATATTTCGGAGAAATTAAAAAAAAGGTGGGTACATTTCAGTGCTGCCGCTGTCACTTAAAGTTTTTCACTTCACTTTGGAAGCCTTAAATAACCTAATCGATAAACCCCACACACCTAATTATGGTTGAAAGTGGTCACTTCGATAATTACTTCACTTTTCCACCCAAGTCCCACGGGCACATTTTTCATTCGATTTGACATTCCTCTGGCTCTGTGTTTTGTTTTTGTTTTTCTTCGCTGCAAAATTGATGCATAATATAGGTTCTCCCTAAAAATTTATAAGTTTCCGTATTCATTTAGGGATATACAGATTGATAAACTTTATTTTTCGTACGAAGAAAAAAGCAAGTTTTGATTTGTGAACTAGTTTCGATAAATTTCCTATAAAAATTAGAGACGGCGCCGTTTTGTTCGAAATATGCATGGTTACAAATGAGGTAATTCGCTCTCATAATTTTGTATGGCGAATTACGTAATTCGAAGGGTAATTGGAGTGTGAATTGCGAATGAGAGGGCGAACAACGTAATTGAGGTGCCGTGGTAAAGCGTGTGTGATTTCACTTCGCTCGAATTTAGGAAACGGCAGCACTGGTATATTTCGTTATAAAACGGAAAAAGCTATTTCCGAAAGCTAGCTTTCCATAGGCAAATATGCAGAAATTCGATTTGATTTTTTTTTTTATAAACTTAAGCAAGACTTTTTAATAGAGTAAGTTAGAGTAAATTCACAACAAAAAGCACAAATAAGTTCAAAATTTAGCACACTAAAATCTATACAAAAAAAAATTTATATCAATTTTCTTTATTGAAACTGTATGCATTTTGTGGGCATTTTCATAGCATTCCGTGCTTTTTTTTTAATAAACTGTAATACAGCTCCGTAAGAGATTTATTCTTCAATAAACACTTTTCTTACTGTAACGCGGTTTTTCTACCATTTACCCGTCTTCAGTTAATTTCAAAATAAACTAATATATAGCATGAACATGCAAACATACATGTGTGTACGTAGAAGTAGTTATACTTATATGCAAATAAGTGACAAAACCGCACACCTTTCCAAGCCAGCAATTCATAATTGTTGTTGTTACCCTCCTTTAATTTGAACCTAGCAACGTTTTGTTTTGATTGCCACCTACCCACTCGTTACACTCATTCCAACACATACTATCTTGCCACAACAATAGACATCACGCTAGAAAATTCCTTAAGGCCCGTTTACATACAACTTTGGCGTTGCGTTGGCGTTGGCGTCGCTTCGACAGCTGACTATGAATACATGCATTTATATGAAAGTCTCCATATAACCAAAGTTGGGCAACGCCAACGCCAACACAACGCAGAAAGATGGCCAACTCTCAACTTTTCGCGTGCGTCGTTCGTCAGCTGTTCTAAATAATCAAAATTATGTGATTTAATTTTCATTTTTAATTAAATCCGGGCAAGAAATATAGTTTTTAATGCAATTATTGATGTAAATTTTTTATTTATCTGCCGCTAGTGTGTTAATTTAGTGACCAAAGTATTCTCTGCTACGCGTTCATTGTAGCAAGCACGGGCGTTACTCGCGCTGCTGTCAAAGCGACGCCAGCGCCAACGCAACGCCAAAGTTGTATGTGGACGGGCCTTTAGATTTAGTTTATTGTTTACTCTTCAAGGGAGCGCAAGTACAAGCACCCACCCGTTCGTTGAATTATTAAAAGAAATAGTTTTTTTTTTAATAATTAATTTCAGTGAACATACATAAGTGCTTTAAAAAGTATGGCTCATACGGCGCGTGCCCATAGTACATCAAAATCACATGAATGTTACGCTTTCAACAAACCATCTAAGCAACGTTCCAAATCTGCAAATCCACCAACGACACACTTTCTCGTAAATTTTTCTATACAACGAGCGCGTCATGTCCCACCATTTTCAGTGCAGTCGTTACAAAAAAATACCGTCGTTATGCATGGTCCGATAGAAGGACCGCCGGCACCGGCTAGCGCACGCGGCAAAGTAAATACAAATGTTAAGTGTAGTAAAAAGAAAGCGATTTCTACACTAGAACTAGATCTACGGGGGCATAGTGTTAATGGAAATGGTGGCCACAGACGTCCTACAACAACATTTCGCATGTATTTTGATCGTGGGGATCTGCCCATCAAAATGGAATATTTGTGTGGAGGAGATAAAATTGGTTGGACGGTGAGTTTAAAAAAGTGTTGGCAAATAAGTTAAATTGATTTGTAAATTCGAGTAAAATTTGCTAAAACTATTATCGACTATAGTAGCAGCGACGTAGGGGTTGAGGCTTAGAAAATCAGATATAAAAATTTGCTTTCTAAATTTAAGGACCACCCTAATGTACATACCGTACAGTACCCGTATTTATGGTCCGATTTGTTTCATATTTTAAATGGAAAGAAATAACTGCACAAAAAATTTAGCCGTTAGGTGGTGCGGACTCGTTTTGTTTTATTAACCACTAATGAAAGCTTGTCTTTAAAAATATTGTTTTTAAATTACTTGCTTTTAAGTAACAAAAGTGGTGCCTGCCAAAAGGTGGCCCCTGTTAGAAGAAAATTTGTTCTATTTATACCCTCTTTTACTAAAGATATGTTTGTACGTATTTGGCATCAAAATTCCAGGCATTTTTATAATAGCCATTTTATTTTGAATTCAATTTCCGTTGCATACAAAATACGCCACGTCACCATGACTGCCTCCTTTTTGATTGATGCATAATTTATTATAACGCATGCATATAGGCAGACATGAAATAAATAAATAATAATAATAATTTAGAACGACATTGTTGTCATATTTGCAGAAAAAAAGTAAGAAAATAATATTATAATTTGCTGCAGATTTATTGCTCATATGGGCGTATGATATACAAAAAAATACACACATACATTGGATGCAAAAAAAAAAAACAATTTAATTCTTTTCGCAGTTGAAAAGGGTACACAGCGCTCGAACGCGAGTGTTGCGAGTAATTGAAATTGAATTGAATATTCTTCTCTCCGCGTTTCTTGCATTTCTTGTTGCGTGCAAAGGCGTGCTTGGCATGCAGCACGAACGTAATCATTCAGTACAAAGTATTTTGAGTTCGTATCTTGTGACATTCTTATGTATGGCTATAGGCGATAACCATTTAGACAGATATATGTACATACTTAGTATATTACCGTTACCTTTTGTAGGTGGATATTGACAAACTCGACTACAGCCTCTACTTGCCACTCTTCTTCGATGGCCTTTCCGAGACTCAACACCCCTACAAAACGTATGCTCGTCAAGGTGTTTCCGATTTATTGGTTGCGGGTAGTGATAAAATTCATCCCGTGGTACCGCAATTAATATTGCCACTAAAAAGTAAGTGTATTGAAAAATATATACGTACATATATATAAATTAGTGATAAAAATATTTTTTTTTTCAGCGCCAAAAATAAGTCGCTTTTGATAAATATGTAATACATTTCGGTTGTTTCTGGAAGAACGTAATGAGTCAAAAATTGATTTAGTTCACGTTTATTAGTCAGGTTTTACTTCTAGAACAAGTAATTAATATAGTCGTTATATTTTATACAGAGGACAAAGCTATCACAAAGTCTTGATTTTATCAATAGGTTGTTTCGTTCAAAGAATGAAAATGAAAGCTTCTATGTAGTTGAAGCTTAGCATAGTGGAGAAGTGTAACATTACGAGAAAGACAATTTCCATCCTTATGAGGCACAGTCGGCAGATATTTTGCATTATTTACACAAAATAAAATAATAGTAATTCTTGCAGAAGTTTTTATTATTTTTATTAGATCGTTCTTCCAGCAAACGGTCCATGTTTAATTACATAAGTAGTATGTTTAATATAGCAGTATTTATTTAATACAAGCTTTTATTTATTTTTCTTATTTTCTTATAACAGACGCACTCAGCACACGCAATTTGGAGGATATGTGCACTACCCTGAAGATAATACAACAGCTTGTGATGTCTTCGGATATGGTTGGACCGGCTTTGGTGCCATTTTATCGACAATTATTGCCAATGTTTAATGCTTATAAGGTGAAAAATGGTGAGTGAAAGAACCCCTCAAGGCCAAAAGAAAAATACTAGACCGTCCCTATGAACGAAACAGTGTGGCATATTAGATCAAATGATCAGGTTATCTATGCAAAATAGAACATTACCATTTTGCTTTTTAGATCGACTAGTTAGTGGTAGTCTGTAAATTAATTAAAAAATTTACATCAAACAAAAAATCTGCCATTGAGCTAATGGTTTGCTAAATACAGTTAAAATGTAAAACAAAAAAAAATCAGTTGATGCGTATGGCTCAAATATTTTAAAGAAGTATTTTGTGGAAACTTTCACCACACACCATTTTTGATAAATTTCGCTGAAAAGCAGGATGTTGCATGGATATGTATGTATTTAGTTTAATGCATCGAATTTTCAATCATGAAAGCCAATTACATTTTACTTATTTTTTTTTAACTCATCAAAACTAATACCGATGGACTTGTTTACGAAAAACTATGACATATGATTAAAAAAATATTTTTTAATCGCTTTCAAACGCATCATCGTCTATCAGTTTGGCCATTTTTAGCGTAGTAACAACAACAGGGCATCAGGCTAACTGTAAAGCAATTGCAGATAATGCATTCTGTTTACATAAATACATACATTAGTAGATGGGTGCGTATATAGTACATACTTATGTACATATGTACAAACGTACATACTAACATATATGTATGTCTAGAGACTAACCTTGTACCAATAATGCAGTAAACAAATGCGTCCGCTGTAACTAAGCAAATTGAAATATAAACAAATTAAAAATTTAAATACTCTGATAAGCGAGATGACTTACTGAACCATTGTTATCAGTAAATGCAGTTGTAGCTGATAAACTCCTTTCAAATAAGCTGCCCCAAAATAAAAACTAATAAGTAGTCTTCTGTTGATGAAGAGTTATTTTAAAATAAATCATTATTATACTTATAAAGTTTTTAATATACTATGGGCAAACAGATCTTGTTGGACTATATTCGCGTCTATATATCGTCACTGAAATGCAAAAGGTCGTAACTTATAAAAAATTAAAAATTCACTCTTACACATCGCGTTATAAAAAAAAAAAAAATATTGGTCAGGACTTTTCCCATTTCAGTGGCGGTGTTGTTTCGTCACCTTGCATTTTGGGTGACGATATGTAATAATATTCTGAACGTTTTTAAGTTTAATAGTCGTTAAATTAGTACAAAATGAGCTTAAAATCGAGACCTTTGTGGCATTGATGCTACGTTATATTCATATATTTAGTTACGTTTCATTACATCGTCAGCAGATAAGAGCAATATTTTTGGAATTACCAATATTGATTGAGAAGGAGGACAGAAGTTCTAATCCAACTTAGTAGATATATGTATATACGTATTTTATCGAAAGATTTTTTTTTATTGCGGCGTATTCTTGTTTTCGAGCGAATCGAAAATTATAAAATTTTTCGATCATTTTCTATACAAAAATTTCAATTTTTCGGTTCGTACGAAAACATGAATATGTCCCGCTGTGTCGTTTGAAATCAGTGCAAGAAAAGTTTTAGTTGAAACAAATTGTTGCCAGGTTCGAAAAAAGTTTAAGAAAGGACTTGAGTGTCGCTCAACTTCATATACAAATCTATCAGCGTTCTGAATTTTGTAATTTATGAAATGTGTACTCGAACATTTAAAGTTGGCTGAAAAAAATATATACCTACACACATATGTTGTGTATGATTTTTCGTCTATATTTTTTATTACTACGAGTATAATGATAGTGGTACAACTTTGTTAGTTATACTGGTGCAATCAATTTTAATTTTCTACATCGGCTGGTTAAGTTTTTAATAATTTTGGAATACCTTAGATTAGTCGAAATCTGAAATTATTACAACATACACATCGTAATGCCCTAGCTCATTTTGTTTCGAAATTCAGATATCAGATATATTTAATTAAAAACAGTCATATGGCTAATATATATAGTATAGTGTGGTGTTAGACAGCTTTATTCAATCGAATATCTTCCGGCTATGGATTCAATGGTATTTCTCAGAAGACATTAATACATATACGAATGCACAGTGTTTTTAAACCTTTTTAGTATCAAGCTGAAAAGTGTGATTGTGTGAGTGCGAATGACAATTGCTGCATTGGATCTTAAAAGTTAACCTTTATATCAATTTGTAGTCATTATAAAAGTATAATGTACGTAAATTAAATTTTTCTCCTGTTTCCAGTCAATTGTGGTGACGAAATTGACTACGCCCAGCGCACCAATATGAATTTAGGCGATCTTATCGATGAAACACTGCAAGTACTGGAATTGCATGGCGGCGAAGATGCTTTCATCAACATCAAATATATGGTGCCTACGTACGAGTCATGTTATTTAAATTAATTTATGTTTGCTACTCATAAGTTTGTATTACAAAAGTATTAAAAAACATTAGATAATTTCAACTTTCGTGCAATAAAAAAACGTATTACGAAGATACGATTTTCTTTTTTATTTAAAAATTTGATTCTTTTATTTCTTCCTCATAAATCCATTTGTATGTATGTACATTGGTATTCATAAAAGCTTTTCACTCATTCGAGTAATTATAAAAATTTATATTTCTACAATTTCTTTATTTCTCACGTAAGTCCCATTCCTTGCCGGAACGAAGAGCCATTGCTAAATCTTCAGCAATGGCATAGGATGCAACAGCAATGCTGAAAAAAAGAGAAAACAAGTTTTATATAGAAAAAATACTAAAATATTTTGAAATTAGCTTTTATAAAAAAGGGCGGCCTTTATAATTTAGCCCAAAGTTTATTTAAGATTTGTTTCGCTTTCTAAAACGATCGTTTCATAAGTTTTGCTTCCTGTAATAAATCCCATTATAGGGTTACAGAGTAGTCAAAACTGTATTAACTTAATTTTTCCTGATCAATTAGTTGAACCAGAACTATCTTTTACTTGATAAGTAGCGATTTTAAGCGCTTAAAATACGCACGTTAAAATAAGAAATATGCAGGAATAATAAAACAAAAAATATCCTTTGAAAAAATAAATAGCTCAATTTTTCTTGTGTAAAAATCTATGGAATTTTGTTCAAAAATGCACAAAAACTCCGGTAAAAGTAAAATATTACGCATTCAGTGCCTATTCACTTACATATGTATAGAAATAAAAACGAGAATTTAACTTAAATATTTTTGTTGCAATAAATAACAAAATATTCGGATAAATTTTCAGAAAGAAATTATTGCCTGTTACGCGGAATATATTTTTAAATATGGAAAAGGCTCGAACTTAAGGGCAGAAATTTCAGTCACTGTATATTTTTCAATCGGATGAATTGAATTACCGGATTTAAATTGACCTACAATATTTTTTATTACTACAAAGCTCTGTTTTTTGCTAAAAAACTGATTTTACCTTAAACATTTACTTTTTACTGATTTTACCTTAAACATTTACAGCGTTTACGTTTTCTTCAGCTCTCTTAACAATTTCTATCAGGCAGGTTCTGTAATTCGCTTCTGAGTTAATTTCAGCCAAAACCACTTTGAATTCATATTGCAAGGGGTTGAAATTACCTCGGAAGGGAATTGCAGAACCAGCCTGTATATGTGCCGATAAAATCAATGCTGTTGTTTCTAGTAGAAAAAAATTATATTCAAATAATAAGCACAAATCCACATTGTTTCGAAGTAGTTCAATATTTTATGGGTAGCGCCGCATAAGTGCTAGAAATGTTGTCCTTAGAAATTCCTCAAAAGTAGGGTTACCAGACGTCCTCCTTTAGGAGAACGTGTCCTCCTTTTTGCCGAAAAACTAAATGTCGTCCTTTATGACTGAAATGTTCTCCTTTTTTGAATTTTGTATTTTTCGCATAATACTTCTACCGTTAATTTTTTTTATTGTAAATTTTAGCAGTGTTTTCTTAACTTAATCAGCTGACCACAAGAGTATACATATGTACATATTTTTTATTCAAAACGTTTTTATCAAAATATATTGTTGCTCAGGCGTCGTCCTTTTCAATCTTACTTGGAGTAAATGTCCTCTGTTTTTGTTTCACTTGTCCTACCATCCATGTCTGTCCGTCTGGTAACCCTACTCAAAAGCTGTTTACGCAGGTAACTATTGAAGGAAAAAGTGGAGATTTTATCTCGATGCAACATCCAATGGATCCAAATGCAGCATTTATATGGAAAATATTTGTCTTTTCAGATTTCAATTCCTTCAGAACAGAAAGCCATGCACTTATTAGACGTCTTAGAAATAATATGATAACAAAAAACATGTCGAAACCGTCAGGTAAGTGTGATGCTTGCCATCAAATTTTTCGCTAGCCCTACGGGCTCGGCAATTTTTATTCACCTCATAGTTGTCAAAAATGTACCATCCAGAGTAGTTTTCTATCAATTGGCAGAGGCCCTATAATTTAAATTTGTTTTTTTTTTTTTGAATATGCACTATTTTTGCAATAAGAATTTCATTTTATGCTTTTTGTGATTAAGTATAAGAAAAAAAACATGCTCGAGCATATTTTTTTTGTTGCCCTATTAATAAGAAACTGGTGAGCCACTGCTAAATTATAAATCATAAAAAGTTGAGCACTCAACTTTGGCTTTGGCAAACTAATTTACAACTATTTTTTCGTTAAAAAACGCAGGGCAGTTCTAAAAACGCGATTGTACACCTATTTGAAATAAGGTAATGGAATATATTCAAATATTTCTGAAAAATATGCCACCTATGGCCTTTTCTCCCATGATAATGGCGTTATACACTTACTGCTGTTGCATCATATAATCTTTCTTCGAAGATTCGTATTCGTTGCCTTTTATATTATGAGGAGAGTAACGATTGTAGAAACCCCAAATGGAATTCATCAACTTGTCATTATATTTTGCCGGTGTATATTCAGTCACTGTAAGCGAATGAAAAAAAGAAATATGTTTATTAGATTCATTGTCCGCATCTAATAGTAGTTCATTTCCATCAAGTTTTAACTGCAATTTAAAACTCTAAGCAGTTAGTCGCTCATTTGAGGTACAAGCAAACGAAAGGAAAAAAGCAAAAATTAAGAACTAAGCCTTGCCGATCACATTTTGTTAAAATTATTGTAACTTATCTAAGTTTTTAACTGCAGTTAAACGTGTGGAAATGAGCTATTATACTCGTATTTGTTTGCATGAAAAACAGCTTTCAACTTACATTTCTTATTGGTGTTCATATTTTTGGGTTCACCTTTATCACTACCGCTCTTCATGCGTGCAACCAATAGATCTCGATCACGTAATTCTCGCAATTTGCATGCAGCAAATGCTCCTTGCGGCAAAGCGGCCATTTTTTTGCAGTCTGTAAGAGATAGGAAATAATTGAATGAGTGTAAAGAAAAATGAATATGAAAATGAAATGAATAGAGGTCATTCATTGACTGTCTGTATCAAGAATTTCCTTGAAAATAGGCTTTGGTGATTTGTATTTCGTATATGGCGATAACACCGAGGAGTCAGTATGTGTGTGCATTTTTATAACGTGTTTCCACGTACAGTTCGCTGTTAGCTTATATCGTTTTGTATCAACGACTGATAAATTTATACTTCTTCTGTTCATTAAAAAGTATTTGTTTTTTCGTATAAATGCAGTAATTTTGAAAAACAGCTGTATCAATTTTTGTAATCCTAAAAACGTATATTACTGCAAAAAAAAAAACATAAGGCCCTATCGCGAATTTCACATGAACAAATATTCCTAAAAAATTTAAAGAAAAAAACAATATTTGCCAATTTGTTTTTGTTTTGCAAGTTAAATTATGGGAACAATTTATTCACATAAAATTGGCGATAGGGCTGATAGACACGAGCGTTACATATACGCCATGTAAAGTTTCACAACTATTGACTGGTTTACGACAAAAATCCTACGTATTATAATAAGGATAATTCAAGCAAAAATTTTTTCTAAAAATTCTGATTGAAAAGCTTGAAATTTTGAGGAAACTTTGTCGAATTTTCTTAATTTTTGTACAGTTTTAAGCCTGACTTATGTATATGTGATAATACATACTATGACTTCAAATTAATTTAAGGGCGTGCGTTATATATATTTTTTTCGTTTTTCTTTTATTGAAATAAATAATAATTTTAAGTCTAATGCAAAATCTAGAATTTTGAAAATGAATATGCACTAGACCTAATGCAAAACAAACCAACAAACAAAGTTATGTTTTCGTATTCTCTAAGAAAAAACTAGAGAGAAACATGCAAGAAAGTACGCAAAGTTACAAGTCTTATGAACAGCTGATTGATTTGTTATTTTCCGAAACAATTTCCTAACAAAAATATTATTTCCGATGTTATCTTATTACATTAAACGAGGAATTCTTGTATATATATATATATATATATATATATATCCATAGGGTTCTCGGAAACGGCTCTAACGATTTTGATGAAATTTTGTACACAAATAATGTTTTGGATTTTAAGGTTATCTGAATAGGCACTATCTCCGAGAAGACTCGTATAAGGTTGCCACCTATTCGAAATTAGTTACAAATTAACTAAAACATCATAATATGGGTATTAAATGGAAGGTATTTTAAAGATCCCCAATTCCAAAATATTTTTAATAGGGTTGCCTCCTATTTTGAACCGCATACTTATTTAACTTTTTTTTAGAAAAAAAGGTAAGATATTACTGTTCACGGGTACCAACAGCAGGTTCTTAAACAATCCTTCCCCTATATACAAAATGTTATCCCTTAGGATAATAGTGTAAGGTTGCCAACTATTTTTGATTCTAGACAATTTATCTAAAACATCGCAATATGGAAATCAAATGAAAGGTATTGTTGAGAACTTTGGCCATAAATTTTTTCCATTAGGGTTGCCACCCTTCTACATATGTAATACAAATTTTTATTTTGTTAATTTTAATCGGCATTTTTTATGTATACACAGTATGTACATATACGCTCAAGATATGTACCATTAATTCCAGCTATTTCAGAATAGGGTTGCCACCTAAATTTTGGAGTAAGAAGAATCCAAATTTTTCTTTTTTTCCAAAGTATTTTTTTAAAGCTATCCAAATCTTGAAAGCTCGGTCAACCTGGTACTTATATATTTAAATAGTGTTTTTTTTGTCAATTTGAACTATAAAATCCCCAGAAATAAGTCTTTTATCAGTGTGAATTGCACCCAACACGCCATCAGCTGTTTTTCTTACTGGCAAATAGTTACCATTAAAAATTTATTCAGTAAAACTTGCGCAAGTTCAGCTGTCATTTTTTGCTCTCCCAATTTACTCTCTTTTGCTAGTTTCTTGCAAGTTTTGGCGCACGAAAACGCCAGCCAGTAAACATCCAGTAAAAAGTATATTGCTTTTTACTAAAATCCAGTGAAATGATTACTGGTTTTTAATGCATAGTATTTACAAAAACACAACTATTACTTAATTTCTACTTTTTATTTATACAACAAACATTATTTATTTATTATTATGCTTCAACACAAAAATTAAAATTAACACATAAGTATGTATGTACCTTCACAATTTTTTACTAGTAGATCACAAATTATGCCTTTATCAGCAATATTAAAGTCGTTATGTACTGTAAAGTCACTTTTCAATAGATCTTTTAAGCAATTTCGCCTGTTTGGTAAATTTGGCAGAATTTGGTTGGATTGTTCGTTACTTTTTATAATCACCATTCAAATGTTTTTTCAATCTACAACAATAACAACAAAGTATTGTCTTTTAATGCACAGTATTAATTTTTTTTGATTGAAATTAAATTCACTAACTAATTATTCGTTTTATTTTTTTTCTCGTTATTAATATATCAACACTTTTGCACTAAATATAATAAATTTGACAAATGACCGGTTATACATTTGTATGCACTTAAAGCAAATACTTTAGAAAGCAGAAAGAATGCGTTCAACTCGCAAGATGTTCGAAACTGAACTGGTTTTGTTGGCAACATGCGGCTGAGATTTATAAGTGCACTACATATTGAGCATATGCTTCAATTGGACGTTCGAAAGCGTAAATGACGCAAAAAGTATACATACATATATGTACATTGGGGTATTTATTATATCTTAAAAGAATCCTGCCAAAATGTTTCGAAAAAAGGTTCCTCTAAAAATAGGGTTTTTCATATATAAAATTATTTATATTTTTTGTTTTTTTTTCATCGCCCCAGTTTATCATCTGTATAAAAACGGTACAAAAATTTTAGCAACCGAATCAAAATAAACAGATTTTTGGACATATTTTCAAATCGGCCCAGCTCGCGTTAATCTTAATATTTTTCCGAGTTAATTTTACAGAAACCTTAAAATATAATAAATTTTATAATTCTGATGGGAAAACAATACCGATTTTTTATGGAGAATGATGCACCCTAATGAACATACATACATACATCTATGTATGACAGAGATAAGAGTAGCCGACTAGGGGCGGAATGTCGAAGCTACAGTAGTCGCTGGAGGCTGTTGGAGAGCACTAAGAGTGTAATCTACTAAATTCGAAATTATTCCTATGTTTAAACATCTGTGTATGTATGTACATACATATATACGGATATAGTATTTATTAATAACATAAGCCGCGACTTCTTATCTATAGAGTACAGAGTTGATTACTTCGTTTTGCACTTTAAAATTGGAAATAAGTATGTATAATAAGTCATTAACTCATTTTGATACGCGTGAATGATGGGTTCCTTTCTATTTTAGTAGCCATAAGGAATGTGTCGAGGATCACATATTGTTCACAGATCTATAAATACTTTCTCAATTTAGTATTCTGTAGCTATCTTATGAATACACTTTTGGTATAAAATATTTCGTATTGTTTGAAAAAAATCGCTTGTGTGGTGTATTTGGCTCTTAAGTAAAAATGTAGAATGCATTTTTTATTTCGCCTTGGATAATCAGCCAAATTCTGAATACTCCCAGAAAGTTTGTTCTCCGGGAATTTGAAGAAATCCTCCAATAATTAACTCCCAGGGAGTAGAATTTTTTCCGAAAATTTGGGACGAGGAAATTCGAACTTTGAAAAAGCTGTTTGAGGCTTTTTTGGCAGCTCAACTCCGCCACTTAATATAAAAAATCTTCAGGGAATTTTTATTCATGATAGAAAGAAAGGGAAAAGAGAGAAAACTCCCAGGGAGTTTCTGTTCAGAATCGGCCTGAATACTTATACTCTTTAAAACAAAATAGAAGTGATAATAAAGTAATCCGTTAAATAACAGAATTCACTATCAGCTCCGATAGCTTATAGCTATCGAACAAAAATAATTTTCCAACAGCAGCTAGTATTTAAAATGCTGCTTAATAATTTACAGAAAGAAAAAAATGTTTTCGAAATCCAAACAAAGCCCTATCACCGGACTTAATGGGTTAAATGAACCTGAACAAAAAATTTGGAAAAAAATTTAAGAAAACGCCAATTTATGAACTCGTTTTTAAACTGTATTTGCTTTGAAGTGAAGTTGATTGCAAACGGCGCATGATTTTACATGCGAAAAGTCAGAAGAACATGAATTATTGAACAAAAATAAAAAATATAAATAAAGAAATGAAACAAAAATTTAATAGATTATGCCAAGATGTTTACTGAGTCTAGCGCTCAGCTCTTATCAGTGGTAGTACATAAAATTGTATGTACATATGTACGTATGTTTATACTCCTGCATACATATGTACATAAATATGTCTGTCTAAACAAAGTAAAATATAACATATAAATAATATTTTATTTATTAAATATACAGTCAACGTCAAAAATATGAATACCCTGATGTTTTGACGATTTTCTTTATATTTTCCATACCATTTTTTTATTCTTTTATAAAAATATAGTTAATTCTACAACAAAAACAGCAGAATCAAATTTTTCAAATTCATATAGAACTCGGGAAAATTCAAGAAATACCAAAAAATTTCATAAAAATTTTAAACTTCTCAATTCGTTTTCTTAAAAAAATTTTGAGCATGCAGTTTTTTAGCACATTAAATTTTGATTGATTGATTGATTTTTTAGATTTTTGTTTTTTGTCTAGGAGGTTTTGTATTTTCTTCCATATAACGCATGAACAAGATCAATTTTTATAAAATGCGCAACATCCTCGACAAAAAAATCTCAAAAATCAATGGTAATTTTTCGAGACTTGAAACTTGCACCTTATTATACTAAAATTTAATGGGCTACAAAACTGCATACCCAAAAATTAAAATTTTGATGACATTTTTTTTATTTCTTGAATTTTCCCCGAGTTCTATATGAAATTGAAAAAATTGATTCTGCTGTTTTTTGCTGCTGCAGACAAGCATATGCAGATATACTCTTGCGGTCAGCTGAATAAGTTAGATGACATTTTGACCAGTTTGGCTATTTTTCTCTTGTTTATTTATTGTTTATAATTTTTTTTTGTGCTTTTTCTTCCATATGAAGTATGCGCGACAATTGCTTTTATATGGAAGAAAATACCTATTACCTTCATCAAAAATAAAATCAACGCAATTTTTTAGAATTTTGAAATTTGCACTTTATCCTACTGAAATTTTATGGGCTCCACAGCTGCATACCTAAAGTTTTTCTAAAAATTCTGAGTAAAATATGTTTGTGCGAAATTGGTAATTTTTTTTTTAAATTAAAATTTTTAAAATGTTCGTACAAAGTTTGAAATGTACATTTATACGGTACATGTAATATAATGAACTAGACTTTTATAAAAAAATAATAAAGATTAAATAAGGAAAAAAATAGCCAAAACGTCACTTCACCTAATCAGCTGACCGCAAGTGTATGTATATTTGCATGTAAACGGCTAAGTAAATTAAGTAATTAGTCTATGCATGCGAAATAAATTAGACTTGAAACAAATTATGCTAAATCCAAGGGGGCCGGATTAGCAGAATTTTAATGAAAACTGCGTTCTAACTTTATATTTGCGTTTAAAAATAAATTTACATATCTGGAAAGTAATCACAAAGTAATCGTGTAAAGTTTAGAATGCTGTTTAGAAAAGATTTAAATTTGCTAGACTTGGAGTTTGTTTTGATTTGGTTCTTAATGTTGTATTTTTGGACAAAAAAATACTTTTTTCCAAATTGATGCCATGTTATCAGTTATTAAAAATGCATAACTCTTGCACATACGTACATGTGTTTGTATATTTACAAGTGCATACATAAACACAGTATTTCATTTAGAAATGCATAGCTTTTTTGGTTGGATAAGATTCGAAACAAAAAAAAAAAACTTGTTTTGACTAACTAATTTGAAAATTTATTTATTCTTCCAAATTTAACTTACACTAACAAAAGAACTGGTATTACAACATATGTACGTATAATGTGTTGTTAACAAAATCTATTAAAAACAGAGCAGAGAGATTTTATAGACACATTTCATCAGACATTTTATAAACATATAATCTTCGAAACACAAAACCAATGTAAATGAAAGAACACAGTCATATTGCATCATCCATTTTTGAAGGATAAGTGAACATTTCGTTGAACATTGAAAAAAAAAAATATTTAAGTATGTACATAAGCTGTAAATTATATTCCGTTATCTTTATTCACAAAGGCCCTAACCAACACTTTTTTCGAAACTGCGTTTTTAGGGGCCTTCCTGAGGGTCAAGAGGCCTTCCACTCTATATTCACTTCTCCTTTCTATTTTTCTATGTTTAAAAAATGTTTATTATTTTTCATGAAAATATAGCTTACTATCTAAACAAAACCCTGTAAGTTCAAATTTCAAACTGTTAAATCGGATTTTATAGAACTTTTTTGGGAATGCATTTCTTAAATTTTAGTATAATAAAAGACTAATCAATGTTTTTTGGCAATTTTTTATTAACGCATTTTCTTCCATACAAAATATGTTCGATTTTTTTTTTTATGGAGAGAATCAGCAACACCTTCCTCAAAAAGTTGTTAAAAATCAACGGTAAGTCCTAGCTACTTAAAATTCGCACTTCGTTACAATAAAATTTGAACTTCGTTACAACAAAGCTGCATACTCAGAATGTTTCTAGAAAATCGAATTAAAAAGCTGTCGAATTTGCTAATTTTTGTACAAAGTTTGAAATTTTTACTTACTTGGTTTTTGTTGGATAACGAAGCTATACTTTCATAAAAAAGTAATAAACATTAAATAAACACAAGGAAAATAGCCAAAGAATGCTAAAAAGTCTCTTTCATATTTATATTTTCGTCGCTGTTTGTATAGTTACGATTATTAGTTGCGTTCGCGTAGCTGTTAATTGTTCATGTTTAACCAAAACTTTCAGGTTTTTGCGTTCGCATACGCAAAAAACTTGCAAAATAGGGGAAATTGAGAGAGCAAAGTGACATTTCATTTTGAGGGGAAGCTGCTGGTTTCTGCTGGAAAAATTTTTGCCAACACCAATTTGCCAACAGGAAAACAGCTGATCAAAAACAGCTGGTTTGAATTTACGCAAATCACAAATTTGAATTTGATGGTCTGGAAGTTAAAAATGACAAAATGCGACTAATTAAACTTGTAAGTAAGTAGTTATTTGTTTAATCAATAAACTGTGTCAGGATACCACTTTGTAATGAGTTTTCGTACGTTTTAAATTTTACACTTTTGAATGTAAACAAAAATTATATCAGCTGATCGTCTAACCTGCAAGTTTCTGCAAATTTTCTGTTCGCGTACCGTTTCGGATATTTTTCTTTTGTGAGAGAACTGGTGACATTTCGCCGGAATTTTGCTGTTGGTTGGTTTTTACTGGAGATTTTAGACGAACGCACCTATTCTTGCATTAATCGCTGAATTTCGGGTTCGTTTCACTTTTACATTGAATAAGAAAAAGACTATAGAACGAAGTATTGCAATGCTATGTATAAGCGATATACTATTTTTATATTTATGTATGTACACAATCAAGTGAATAGATTCTTGGATTATTATTGTTTTTTTTTAGTT